GTTAGTTATTTATGTTAGTTACGGAAGTAAATAAAGATAGATCAGGCGGATATATTTAACGAGACGATCCACGCATGGGGAATCTTGGGATATAAGCGGGGGAACTAGTCTAAGTGAAAGAACCTGTCCTCCGCCAGAAAATGAAATCCGAATCCAACATCAAAAGCAGAGAATTACAGCCCAACCGCGCACCAGACAGCCAGCCAGTGGTTAAGGTGGGTTGGTTAAACGGACAGTTGGTGGGGCAGACAACACCCGACTCTACGCCCCCAGCCCCCCGATGCAGTCCGTCCTCAATAGATTTTCGGTCTCCCTGCCATCTGCAGACTGGAATCCCAAATCAGGATCAACAGGCAGGACTGTGACTTGACGGGCCGTGCCACACATCCAACTAAAGAGCCACTAGCCATGTCGGATCGAACCTCTTTAGCTAGCTTTGGCATACCTCCGCCCTCTTCTCCAAGCTCCCTACGGTCAGTGGCTGCTGGTCCGCGGGCTCAGCCAGATCCAAGGTTATCAAAGCACGGTAGGAGAGAACTGAGCATCGGTTCTTTCCCCCCCCCCCCCCCCCCCCCCCGTCATTCGTCCATGGGGGGTCACCCAGCGGACTCTGCGCGGGTTTGAAACCGGTATGGTCTATTATGATTGATTGAGATTAGCCATGGAATTGTCATGGACATCATGTCATGGATGTCGATGTCTTAGCATGAGTAGTTCTCTGCCGATGTCATTTTATGGCCCTCGGAAAATGAACGGTTATTTACTTTGGCTATTTGCTGCCTAACTGCTGCACCGCCATGTTAGGAATCAAACCAAAAAGTAATCACCTCCTGAGCGAATTGTTTGTTCCTCCCACAGTTCTCGATTGCGCCCGCAGCTTACACACGCAAACGGTTGAACTGGGCGCCGCAAGTCTAGGAAGTAAATAATCTAGTTAGATCCAATCAAATCATGATCCTCTCAAGCTTTAGGTTGAACCCAGACGCCCTTTTTAGATCCGCGTGTGGCTCAAGCTTTATTCTGAGGTCCATTGCATCCATTTCAACTGACCAGAGAGAAAATCTATGTCAATGTGACTGACGCTTATGGACGTTAAATGCCTGACTGTCGACTGTCGATTTGTCCAAGCCAGTCGGGATTCCCTGAGGCCATTCTACCTCGTTTTGAAACATAGTAGTAGTAACCGCATCCATCGGAACCAACAGGTATGCTATGGTATTTCTATCGTATGGTAGACATACCAAAAGGCAAAAAAATATCTCAAATTCCTCCCATCAGGAACCTGTCTTCCAACACAGAGAAACATAAAGATCTCAGCTTCTATAGCAAAAAAATAAATAAATAAATAAATAAATAATAAAAATAAAAATAAAAATAAAATAACTTGTCTCTCGCCGGTTACAGCTCAAACCTGATTTCAAAATTGCCAATTTCTTTTAGATCCAAAACCTCAACAATGTCCTCTTACACTCTTCTCAAGTATCTGACCGAACCCAATCCCCAGGTTGACAATACCCATTCATTGACGGGTCGCCCAACCGAACATCACAACGAACGTGCTACATTATTCGTGAATGGACCGACTTCAATTTCCAGACCCTAATGACTTGTTACGGAGACGTCCTGCGGAGTACCTTCGAATATGTCAACTGGCTGCGAACATCTCTCGGTTTTAGGTGGATTGAAATGATTTTATCTGCAATGAAGATATTGTTGAGTACATCTTGAGTTGGGTTGAAGTTTTACAAGTCAGCTAGTGGGGCTAACAATGGCTTGGAACCGACTTCTCCCCTAACGCAGAGTTGACACTCCCTCTTTGTCGTTGGGGGGGGAAGACGAGAAAGCCCAGGATCTATTGGAATGACGAGGAAACAAAACAGTGGACAAAATCAGAAGAGAAACCTCCGTAACTAAAAGATATCCTGATTAACCAACATTCAAAGAGAAACACATCCTGCCCAATAGAAGAACCTTCTTCTGGGGGAATCGAAGTTTTCCAAGAAGTGGATTTCGGAGGTCACTGAAGACACCGACAGCGACGTGAGTACCAAATGACCTCTTGCCCAGGTTGAATTACACTTGATGAAAGAAAGAGGACTTTGGTACGGATATAGAATCACCGAAACTGAACTGAACTTGTCATTTTGAGGTTCAGACAAGAGTTAACAGGACTAGGTCTCGCAGGTGACCGGCCACGGCGTGGAGTAACTGGATCTCGACATGGACGAAATTCCATTTGAGACATATTCAACCGATATGTCGGTCGATTGGGCATCTGAAGAAGTTGGAAGTATAAATCCCCTGAGGAACAAAGCGTGTCTTTCACCACTTCTTCAGGAGATAATCACGGGCAAAGCACGTCTGTCACCGCTTTATCCCAAGATAGATTATAGGCAGAGTTCGTCTTTCGTTGCTTCTTCTGAAGGAGATAGCAGGGCAGTCGACATGAAGAGTATTCCGTGGTCGAACCCGGAAAGTTGGCAGGGTTACAGTCAAACTGGCTCCTTGGTGGTTGCATATGATGGCATTCAATGGTGATAGCTCTGTTGCTGAGCGGTGCCCGTCAGTAGATTCTTGGTCACCGGTTGACTTATTACCGTCAGAGCTCAACAGAATGGAAAACAAGGAACCTACCAGAGGATGCCAAGATTGAGCCGATCCCACCTCCATCTCAACCAGTTCTGCGCCGAGCACCTCATCAGCTCGAGATTCTCCATAACTAGGTTCTCCTCTAGTTACAAGGCTTGCGTGCAACTCAACCCGACTGGAGAACACCGCCATGGTGACAGCGGATTTTCGGCAGGCTTCTTCTAGCCCACTCTCATCACCACCAGACTCGCTACAAATGTCCCCACCAGTCATGACGAGATTGCCAAACTTGACAGCTGAGCGCATTTTCCGCATCCGATGGGATGATCGCCCTCCCAGAACGGAGCGTATGCAGAAGTTATCTTACATGTGATCACCGCGCAGGGTCGAATGAGCGACGGGACTCCAGTACACAGCATAACGAGGGGAAAGCGGTGCCAGGCAGTACTCGATGACAACAGGAATGTTGTCTGGGTTCCAAAACATCGCGCCCAATGAGAACACCGTTAGGACGGGGTTTTTCTTTTTCTTCTCTTTTTTCCTTCTTCTTTTTCTTTGCCGTCTCTCTCTCGTTTCTTTCTCTGGGTGTCGAATAGCGAAATGGGTGACGTGGGACTAATTTCAGTCGTGTTTACTTTGACCTTCCATTGCTCCATTGCAGATATTGAAGGATGTTAGGCATCATAGGTGTCTGGTGTACTAATCCAATAGCGCTGTGGGAGTGAAAAGGTGAAATATGTGAAATATGTTAATTTTCGGCAGAATTTCCTGATGCCAGTAAATCGTAACTACTAGATAGCCAATAGCTCCCCTAGTTTTAAAAGAATATAGAAAAGAACCAACTTTGGAACCGTCGAAGCAATTGCTGACCGCACCCGTAGAGAAATTGATTAATTAGCTGCTAAGACCTCAAAGGCTGCGTCGCGAGAGAGGAGGTTTTCCTGAACATATTATTGAAGATTAAGGTGTATAAATTGTAGAACTCAATTCAGAGTTTAGCGACATTTTCTTTTCTGCTCTCTTTGCTGTTAATTGCTTTTGAGTCTTTGCTTCTAATGGCTGATATGGAATGTATGTCTCCCATTGGGAGTTTCCACGTATCGACTGCATGTTGTAACGATCGAAGAACTTCCTACGTATGCTGCCTGGCCATAGCTTCCGGACGTATTGCGTTGTAGCTCAAGAAGATCTTCCTTGGTCCAGCGAGAATCCTTATGCGCAGATCGGGAGAAAGGTGTGAACTGCGCTTCGGTGAGTTTGATCCAGCCATGACACTTTACTGTCCAAATGCGCATTCTGCCCTATGCCGTCAAGTCGAGCAAAGGAACAACTCTCGTGGGAAAATTGGGAATGTGTATGGCTTCGAGCGTTCAGGGATCTCAGCGAACCCGCGGAATTCCCATTGCTTGAACTAAAAGCGAAACAAGCAATGGGAGATCCCACGATCCAGCTCAACCTACCTCAATCTTTGACAAACAGCTTCTCGTATAAATTAAGGGGACATGTTAGTTTCATGACAGATTCAATCTGCTCAAATCTCTACCAAATACACCGTGCCCTCTATACCCCGCGAAATGATCCTGATTACAATGGATAAATCGTCGCAGCAGCGGTTTTGACGTGGATTTGCACGTCAGGTCATCCATTGGAAACTGGGAGAGCCATCTCCCAATCATGGAATCATCCATGACGGTAACCCTGGGAAAATGAGACAGCAGAAAAAGATGCTGTTCCTGGCTGCCCCGAGGAGCAATAGACACGGCGCAAAAGGAGATTATTATAAACAAAAAGAATTTTGGGAGAAGCAGGTAACATGCCAGCTTAGTCAGCAATTCCACATTGCTGATAGGAACCCCCTTTTTGCTTCTGCAAGGATAACTATTATTCCCAAACCTTTCACGGTTTGATATAGTGTCCTTTAACCAGTCTGCTGCATATCCCTTGAGGCTAAATCTCATGTTTTGCCGGGATCCTCAAAGAGGAGGTTGCACTCACTGTGAAAAATTTCTGATACCTCGATATACGGACAACAAATTTACGTTTCTTTTGAAGGGTTCATGTGTTTCTAACTAATGACATCATGACCACCATCCACATATAGAGATGCTGGCATCATGTTAATGAATGGAATTTCAATGTGAATGAAGAGGAGAAACCTGATTTTGTAGTTATTTACTTACGAGTTACAACTCTATATAAGTATCGGTCCTGACGGCTCATTATCGATCACATAGAGACAGCTTCTGGTATGCAAAGAATGATGGGCTTGCCAACTGAAAACGGTTATCGCCCTTACTACCTTGCTCGCTTCCGCTCTTCCAGCTATGCTTGTTGTCTGGACATACTTTCGTCATCAGAAGAAATGGATTGTTGCTGAATATTGCGGTGGGATTCTGCTATCCCTTCATTTCCACCTGGCGTTGAAAAGGATTTTACTAACAATCCCCGTTATCTTTTAAGTGTAGGTTGGAGAAGAGATGTTCCTGGAACATTTTCAACGCTTGCAAGCAGCCGTGTACTCTTCACGAGCATCATTCAATTCAAACAGGCTTGCCTTCTGTCATCTTCGGAGGCTCGGAGCACATGTGAAGCATCTCGTTGCGTTATCATTGAACAGGGCTGGTTATTCCGCGTCGGTGAGTAGCAAAGTGAGAAAGGCGGGTCGCGTTCCGATAATAGTATTCTCCCAGTGACCTGCAATTCGATGTGTAGCTAACATGAACAGGATATTCACAAGTTGCAGGGTTGGCGTTCCGGCTTAAGGTGCCAATAGCTCAGGGTTTAATCATTGCTTCCTCTTCAGCCAACGGATGAAAGTGTTTTTCTTTTTTTGGATTTGAATTTGCGTGTGTTTTGTCAGTTCATGATGTCAACTTCGACCTTCATTTGCACGAAGACTGCAGAAGTTTTAGGCAGCCCATGGGAAATGCTGCAACTAAGAGGCGCATCTACCGGGAATCACGATTGGCGGCCTCTTTTGGGGGCGGAGTACCACTTGGCACCGCTCAGCCTTGTGAGGCCTTTTGCCATTAGTATTGCGGGGTTAGGCACAAATTAAAAATCTTTGAGGTTCCTGTTAATATATGAATGTGTCTAGGCCATTCTGTTTGTTACTTTAGTTTTGTCCATGTCTGTCGGGGCCAGTTTATAGAATGGATGCACACAAAGTAGGGGTGTATTTTGTCAATGACTCGGAGAAACGGATACTGATAAAGCTGAAACAGCACCCCAGTACTCCTGGGATTCAAACGAATATGCACTGGGAAAAATAGTACGGGAAACCGTCTGGGTTTTTACATGTTCTAATGTTCTCTGGGGAGCTTGGGATGGAACGATGACTATGTTGACGACCAGCAATCCTAGTCATATGGAATGTTGGGTGGATGTTCTGTGGAGAGTTCACTGGATACTTAATCCTGATGGTTGATGGCGGTTCAACTCCTGACGACAAACCATGGATATCAGAGAATATTACCCATCCCTTACCAGAAAACGAATATCTGTATCATGATCTATCGATGTCATATGACAATGATATTTCGGACTTCAAGCTTCAATACACGTTGATCTCCTTTTTTCCGTACGATGTCGATCCAACTGTAGTAAGAAAATACCCTGAGGCACCGCTGAAGCCATTTCTGCTCTCTCCTAATTTTGATCTCCCATCCACTCAGGAGTGCGAAGTTGATGCTCAGCCTGACTCTGGGAGACATCAGAACGCAGACGTCCGAGACTGCCTGACGACGGGTCCCCTTCAAGCGGGGATGTTAAACTTCACCCAAACAAACTATCCAACACTGTCGCTGATCCACCAGAACGCAACACCATCACTGTCAGACGTAAGGCATCACGCTCGGAGTTTCAGTGTTCTAAATTTTGAGGTTGCCTCTCTGGAAGGAAACCAAATTCAGAGTGGACCAGTCGAACAAGAGGGTTTCAACGAGCTCCCATCTACGTGGGTCCGCCTTCATCATTGTTCCAGTTCTCTAGCATTCCGCTAACCGCTCACTTTTAGGACCGAACCCAGATATAGCACCGGTAAGCCCCGGCGGACGTGCCATGAATGCGGCCAGGAGTTGACGTCACAAAAAGACTTTATGCGCCACCACACAGCTGTCCATGAGAAAAGAAGGCCTTACCGTTGCACAATCGCAGGCTGCAATCCTGAGGATAGCCGCAAAGATAACTTAAAATGACATATGCGATTAAGGCATGGAGATACCGCACAGAATCATATATTGCACAGCGTCAGTTTCCAAGTTCCTGATATCGCAATAGTTGTCGGCGAAAAGAGAAGAGTTGAAGAAAATGAAGCGGCGGCGGATGATCCAATGGTTTAAGAGAAGCTAGTTGATATGCTAGCACAGGAATGGCAGAGGAATGTGGAGTTGGAAGAGAGGTTAAAAGTGATAGATAATCAAATGAAAGCTTTGAGAGAATCAGGTGGATACGCTGCTGAGCTTGTTGGCCGAGAGGCGAGGAAGCCCAGCAAATCCAGCCAGTGAAGCCGGCTACGAGTAAATGGAAGATGAAAAGATGTATATCCCACCAAGCCAAAAATGAATAACTATACATGTACAGGTCGCATATATATATATATAAAGTGGTGTACCCCGTAAAGGAGAGGATGAAGAAATTATAACCTTTGATGCAAGTTAAAAACGTCATAGGCGAAAGAAAATATGAAGAAAATTCGAAGGTGTTGCTGCACTCCTCAACAATCGCGGTCTTGTGGTCTAGTGGTATGATTCTCGCTTCGGGTTTGCCTGGTTTAAGTGCAACTTAATCTCTGATATGCGAGAGGCCCCGCGTTCGAGTCGCGGCAAGACCCTGAGTTGTTTCTTCGTCTTTTTTCTACCAACGTTGGCCACATACATAATATATATATATATATATATCTCTCAGAAAGTTCCTTTCAGTCCTTCTTCACTTCTTCCATCGGGTGTTTTTTGCTAATTACTTATTATCTCCAGTCACCCTTATGTCTCATCATCTGGATTTTTTAATATCCAATATAAATTGCTCATGTGTTTTGAGATTTGCTGGAACAGCTTGATGTCTCTAGTGGATAACCTGGCCATCTACGTACATCGGACTGAAGCAGCTCCTGCAAGTTGGAAATGACCGAATTCGAAACATAGGATATATTATTCTGATCCCTCCTCAATGGTGGGTCTCATTTAGCAAATGCGACACACTGTTCGATTCTCTCCCACGTCACCCTATCCCCTCAACAATATCCTTAACAACTGCTGTATATCACAGTTCAATAGCTATTCATCTGTTCATCCTTTTATGCTATTTACGGAGAAGTCGTCTAAAGTTAGGAACGTGACAGCGACGTAATTAACCTGGTACCAGGAAAGTGGATAGGAGGGAAGAAGAGGAAAAAAAAAAAAAAGCAACGAAAATTTTTATTATTGTGTTTCAAAAAGGGCGTGTGTAGTATGATTTATGATTAACTTGATTTATGATTAACTTGGGAGACGAATGATATCCGGGAAGTGGGAATTATTTTTCTCTAAACATAAAAATAACAATAACCTATCATACCCTTTTATTGGATAACCTGTATTTCCGAAATTTTATCTGTTAGCCAAACAAGCGCTACGAAAAGAACCCAGAAAAAAGAAAACACAGAACACAAAAAGTGTAGAAAAGGGGAATATGCAAATCAGCCATATGATAGAGGGCCAATTAAAATCAAGGTCATACCTTTTCCCGCAACATTCCCATCCATTGTGGCAAGCTGACTCCCTGATCAGCCCGATCCTCAACCAGCATGGTCTGTGCCCACAGTCGCAATCCAGGCTCCCCATCCTCCTTTACAACATAAAGATGCGGAACAATTATACTGCCAACACCACGCGAATGCTGATCGCGACTTTTCTGCACAACGGCGCGCACCCTCTCGTTGAAATCATTTTCCAGCTCCGGCAGGAATTGCTTCCCAATCTTCATATGCGCCCTCTCTTGAATGCCAAAGACATCTAAGAGAAGCTGGGGAACGGTGTCGCGGCCGACCCACAGGAATTGCGTCTGGCCATCGTCAATTAGGTAGAGACCGTAGGGCACGAGGCGTTCAGATGATAGGTTACAGCGCGGAGGCAGGATGATTTCTCCCGTCTTCTCGTCTGGCATGCCGGCGTCGTCAGGCATATCATGGAGTGAGTAGAGTTTTGGGTAAATGTATTGGATGAGAAGAGAGAGTGGTAGAGTAGAAAGGAGGCAAAGGGCAGCTGATCGCATATCCGTCGGGATCTGGGATGACTTTCGAAGTCCGATCTATTGACGTTTAGTTAAGTTCATGACGGGGCCGTGTTGCGAGAATAGGGGCATCAAATATGTATCTTACATTTTTCATTAAAGCCAAGAATAAAATTGGCAATCCCCGCAAATTGGCGGGGAACTGCAACCCACCTCCACCAACGCTTCCACCTGCCAGCTCTTTTCTGTATGTTGCCAATAGCTCCACGATCTTGGCTTGAAGTGCGTCCCGGGCTTGCTCCAGACCACTCCCAAGCGTACGCTCAACTGCCTTGTGACTAAAGTAGGTAATAATTGCCGATTGGTCTGCTGAGGCAAAGACATCCGCGAGCGATTGTGTCGTGGGGAGGGCTAACGTGATAACTCGAATCCTCCGTTCGCCATTGCATGTTGTATGAAGGACAGCGGTTTGCAAGCATATGATTGGCCTCGTGACGGTTTCGTCGATAGCTACCTCTACAACATATGCTTGATCGCGGGGGAAAGCAGGGAAGGCACATAGATCTGAGCTTCTGTTGAAGAAGTTACCGTAGAACGTGCTCATCCTTAACCCTGTCGTGGCACGCACACGCAAAACAGCTTCCAGGCCGATTTCTGCTGAAAGATAGTCCGAAAACTCCTTGGCAAACTTGATAGCATCTTCGCTCCGGCCTGCATTCCAGCCAGGGTAGAAGTATGTCTGACCCCCGGTGTATCTTGGTAGATTGCTAAGGGATGCCACGTCCTGATACTGCGAAGAAAACAGGAACATATCCACGGAAATCTGCTGTTTGGAACACTCGACTGCGAAACTCTTGTAGAAGCTATTACCAGTCTGAAGCAACGAACTTTCCTTGCTAGTTCCAAGAGCTTTCTTATCTTCTCTCATTTCAAGACTTCCGAAACCAATGTTAGGGAGTGACGCTGTCAGCACGGTCATCTTTCCGCCAACGGGGCTGATAAGCTTATGGCCCGCTCGAAGGGCTGAACCCATACACGACCCGTTGTTTTGAGTATTTTGGAACATTTCCTGAAGTTTATCCAGGAACAGTTCTATGTTCTCTCGGCATTCCGTTAGTGTGACCAATAAATCTCCAGGAATCGGGAGGAACGGTTCATCCAAATCGCTGACAACTAGCATTCCTGGGTTTGAAGCCTCCGAACCATCTCTTGGTATCGTGAAGTAATGAAGGCTAGAATCCACCGCAATGAATCCAAGCCTAGTTCGGCGATCCGCGTTTGGTATTCTATCAAGGCTTTCGCGGATGCAGCGTGCGCTGGTAGCCAAAAGTCCGGTGGTGACAGATGCAAAACTAACATCAATCAAAAACAAGTAAACGAGAGGTTGTGGAGGCCGGACCATATATTCTTGAGGCGCCACAAACTCTACAATAGAGTGGTTAAGCTCAGGCCGTTGCCATCTATCGAGTGCCTTTTGTGCAGCTGCATCCCAGTCGAATGCCTGCGGAACATCATTGGTGAGGTTGCACATATTGCAACGCCAGCGATGACCGTGGTCGAGAAACGTCACAAACGGGTTGATATAAGAACGACATCGTCGACATCGGGAAATTACTTGGTCGGAGACAATGGGGACCGGATCTTCGGCGTCATGGAGGGACGCATAGGGTTGGATGACCAGAGCAAATGGAAGACGAGATTTTTTTAGCAGCGAGTGCGTGGTCGGCACAGCATTTAGAGTAGAGCGCACATATTTGGGAGGGCAATTCGCCGTTGGAGATGGGGTGACACTAGACTGGTATACGTTAGAATCAAAAAAAAAAAAAAAAAAAAAAAAAAAAAAAAAAGAAGGGAATGATTCACCAAGTATATCCACTTACATTTGGGGGTAAAATAATCGGTGGTGGCGGATAATCCAGTTCCGCGACATTGAATGGTTGTGTAAGCAGATCTGTGGGATATAGCTGATTGAGTGGTTGACCTCTCTGGACTGGCATTTGCTGAACTGGAGGTTGACCGCCCATGCTCATCTGGTCCATTTGCTGCGTTACTTGACCTATACCGACCGAAGGTTGGGACTGATAGCCTCCGACTGGCGGTTGATATCCTCCAACAGCCACTGGCTCAGGTTGGCCACCAACCATTTGTGGAGCCACCTGAACCGGCGCTGCCCCGTAAGTGCCATGAGGATAACTCTGCAGTTGCTGTGGTGCGGAATATTCGCCATAAGCCCCGCCACCTTGCAGCTGCCCTCCCAGGGCAGCATTCTGACCAACTCCAAACTCATAAGCCTGGCCAGCGTATGCTCGTTTCTTTTTGCTGTGGAGGCCACCTGGTGCCGGGGCTGAAGCATCGGGCTGGGTTGGAGAACCTGGGACTCCGTATTGCTGTTCGCCGACATAAGGTTGTTGTTGATGAGTATGCCCATCTTGAGGCTGGCTTCCAGGAGGAAAGCCTCCCTGTGGTGCCGCCATCGGGAACGCAGAAACTAGAACTGGAAGTTGAAAAGAGTCGCGACAACACCCAGCTTCTCAAATGCGGTAGAACAGAGGAAGCAGGACAATGTTGAGGGCGAGTGGATTACAACTTTCAGTCAATGCCCAAGCTTCTTGGGAGGGACAAACGGTGTCGGTTTTGGAGATCCAACAGGTTTCGCAATTCATCAGAAATGCATCCACAGCACATTGACCGTCGCAGGCCAAAAGAGCAGTTGCGAAAGATGTGAAGGAGAGGACCGGGTCGACGTGGCTTCAGGCGGTGATGGCTGCGGCGTTCTGTGTGTGCTGTAGGAGCGAAACCGGAGTTGAGGTTGGTGTTGGTTGTGGTTGTTGGTGCAAGTCCATAAGAAGTACGGTGGCCTTTTTCCGCCAACGCTGACACATTCAACCCACCAATTGGAAGCCCTCATGTAAAGTCTATGCATTTCGCTTAACCAAGTTAAGATCTAAGTATGAATATCTCAACCATCAACTTCTTAAGTGTGTAATTATAAAAACAACAGAAAGAAGACAACTCTTATGTATTTAATATAATATAAATTGGTAAATTACCCTATTATATAGTTATTATAGGGGTGGTTGTTGAGAGCTTGAGATATTAAGTTAATATTTAAAATCATATAAATTTGGGCGTTGGGTGGGAGCGGGACTTTGATCAGAGACTTCGAGACTGATATAACTAATCAAGGACATATGACTTTATTAATACTTCTGGTATGAATAGTATCCTTGAGACATTGGAAGCTGAGATGAATAGTAAACTTCTAAAAATACTTCATGCTCCCTGTGAAATTCCCTCCCTCTCGTACTCGTCACGATCCCGATCCAAACCCGCCCGATCGTTCTATGGAGGTGAATTCTAAAGTTATATGAACAAGGTTTCTCAAAGAATTGATCAATAGCAAGCTCAGCAAAGCACATCCCCATGCCTTATGTGGAGGAAAGAAGACCCAATTGCCACCGCGTACAGGTAGCATGGTATAAAGAGAATTTGTTGAACTGGACTTCATTTCTCAGTCTGTTGTGACCTTTATCCACTTCCACATTCTGTAGCAAATGCAGGAAGATGGATTGCCACTATCAAAGCAACGAAAAGAAGATAATGAGTGTGTCCGAAGTTTCTCCCGGATAACATCTAACTGATCTCAAGTAGAGTAGTTTTCATCTGTAGATAGAGAAGACCAGAGCTTGATACACTGATCAATAATATCAATAGCTTTTAGTTATAATTGACAATCTCTATTCTCTAAAGGTTTCATATATATTGACTTCTTTTTCTGGCTCGGCTAACACTTTAGCATTTGAACAGATCTATTAAACTATTATCTGCTCATTCATATTTCATAAAATCTTTATTAGTATGTTATACAGGGCTTATATCTTAATAAATAAAATATAGAACTATTAAATTGACTCCGACTTAGTTCACTAATTTTCTTTTGACATCTATCCTTCTGTCAATACAAGAAGAAATAACTACTAGAATTGCGCTTTAAGAATCTAAAGATTTGTTCTTTTTCAAGAGCAGTATCCCCATCAAGCTTCAAGGCTTGAGAGACCGTTTCTCATAGACGTGGATGGGAGAGAGGATGAAATTTGACATTTTCATCTCGAATTCATGCAACTAGGCATTTCTCTTGTTCAGAGCTTAATCGTTGTGCCTGCTGATAGGCTGAATTTGCAGTTGATTCTGCTGGCTAGTCAGTTACATAGAGTGATTCATGAAAGCTTGTAAGCTGTAGCTGCAGCTTTAACAGAAAAAATAGAGTCCATCTCCCAATTCTCCAATAGCTTTTTGAATAGATATTTCACGCTGGGAGCTCATTTTGAGAAGGTGGTGAAGATAATTCGCGCTTAATTGGAAGATGAAGAATCTACGCGGATGGCAACTAGCCTAAGGTTCCATCTTCGTAAAAGTCATTGTTAGGGATCAGGTGACTCCTAGTTAGTTATGCAATTGTGCTCGTTCCTTCAAATAGTTCAGTGTAGCTATTGGGGATTGGGTCTTTTTGTCTAATTCAACAGTTATGACGGCTTCAGTTCGTAAAGCCCCAATCCACAGTTGATCCTTGAGCAGACATATCAAAGGAACCAACATTCATACAGGCCTTTGGAATGGGCGATATTGACTTTTATCATCCGTGAAAACCACAACCTCCCCATTGAAGTCGCACTCAGCAACAGCTTTGTATCTACAACCATGATAGTCGAATGAGCGCTCGTTGCTTCAAGATCGCTCAAATTTCTCCTCAATTTCCTTTTCCAGTGGTCTAACTCGATTAACCTGGGCATACAAAATACAAGGCGCAGTCTTTTATTGATTCATGATTTCACTGACAGGGACCCGGAAATGGAAAGAAATCATCAAATTCCTTCTTTGAGTTGCTAGCCACAATCTTTGCAACCGCAGCATGGAGACGGGGTAGCTATAGAACCCATCATTACATCATCGAGAAAACATTTCTCTTGAGAGTTGTTAATATGTCAGAGCCAATTGTTGCATCATTTCCATCCAGCAATCCATGGATTGGTAACTTTCAATATTGCGCTTAGCAATAATGACCTCAACCCCAACTACTATAAAAGCCAACTTCTTCCGCATGCTTCCACGTCGCATGATTGATAAACGTTACAACTGGATCTATCGCATTGTTTACTTGAATTTATATATGCAGGAAACTGCTATTCCAAACGTATATCCCCGCTACTAACATGGGTTACCTCTCCGAATTGATCAAAAAGGACCACAGGGAGCTGGTGTTGTTCCATAACCAGATTGTCAACGCGGACAACGATATCGACAAAAGCAGGTTTCAACACCAGTTCGTTTGGGAGTTAGCTCGCTATGCTGTGGCCGAGGAACTGTTGTTTTACCCGGCGATTGAAAAGCATTTAGCAGACGGTAAAGAACGGACAGAGAAGGTCCGCATGGAGCATAAAAAGGTAATGGACAAGGAGCCATGCCGTCGTCATATGAGAGCATATGCAAGCACAAAGGAGTTATGACCGCTAATACAAATTGTTTTCATACGTAGACCAAAGACCAGCTGATGGAATTCGAATCCATGAAGCCGACGGACCCAAACTTCGAGCCAACAATCAACTCTATCATGAACAACCTATCTTCACCCATTAAAGAGGGAGAAGATGATAATCTCACCGCTCTCGAGAGAGCTATCAGCATTGAGGACGACGAAGAACTTTCCGAGTCCTTTAAGCGCACAAAGATGTTCCTACCCACGCTCACTCACCCTGCGGCCAAACCTCCCAACCAGCTTCCTTTCGAGTCACCCATTGGGCTCTTGACCACACCCATCGACAAACTTGGGGACATGTTCCGCAGGCTTCCACCCCACCACCGCCATTGAGCTGATGAGTGTTTTAAATATATAGTTATGGTTTTGCAGGAGAATTTTATCTTGTTTTCTAGGTTTCTTTTCTGAAATCCACCGGAAGAAAGTGCTTAGGGAATAAACACAACAGGGGGAAAAAAAAGGATAAATGTACTCACATCTAACATTTTGGCATATGTCTTTTCATGTGAGATTGCTCTTTCAGCATTATTATCTGTTGGAACTTAATGCAGGCTGTAATCCTTTCCTTTATATTTTACAGCTCCCACAAGACTGATCAAACAGCCAAGTTAATCTTGTCCAAGGAAAACATATATGCAAATGACATAGCAATGTCAGCATATTATTTAAAGTGTTGAATAGTTATACTACGTCCAACTTATGTACTGTAGTGACAACCCCGTTCGCCCTCTTCGCAAACTTCAAGGGCTCAAAACGAAGTATCTAGGTCGTGTCTCTCGCTAGCCCACCTTATTTACGGTAGCGACCACACAAATCTTCGCCAGAAGAGATCTGGTGAGATTGCACGATACCTAATCTAGATCTGCAACGTATATGTGGGGACTTAAACTCGAACTTCAATCACAACTGTCACTATGATGTCACCACAAGCATCATCAACCAACGTGCATCCAAACCAAACTTACGACCTAGGTAATGTACTCACTCCTCCTAGTATTATTTAGATACACATTCCTACCATTCCGCTACGTTGGCAGATCAGGCCAGCATAAAATTGTCATGATAGTGTTCTGGTTGTCCATTCATCTTGGTAATACGTAATACACTTCGACCAAAATTTTCATCACTATTCAAGCAATTAGAAGTTACAAATTTAAGGCCTAATAGAATCTAATCTATTCCAAAAAAATCCATTCCAAAAAAGTTAAGTGATAATAATTCATATGACAAATGCTAGCACAACTCCGAAAGCACGTTGCCGGATAAAATAATGGGACGCATGCAATTGTAGAGCAATGTACGCAATGCAATATGAACATGCAAGAAAAGGAGAAAGAAAGAAAGAAAATACTAACAAGAGAAAGGCAAACGTATGAAACCCCCATAAGAATGAATAAAAGGGCAGAGAGAAAAAAATCCCATATAAATCCCTTACACGCCAACAGCTCAGATTGCCCCATTTCCCCCCATTACTCCCTTTTGCATTGACACACACACACACACACACACACACACAGACACAGACCATTCATTGTGTGGAAGACTCACAAATCGCATTCCTCATATTCTCCACAGTCTTCACCCCAACCCCTCTCATCTTTCCCAGATCCGCCAAACTGCGTATCTGCACTTGCTCGCTGCCACCGATAGCATCGCAATTTTCTTTTCTACCCATATCCATTTCACATAGACAGTCAACAATGGCCTCGGCTTTCTTTATCCCAACGCCTCGCAGCAGCTTTATTTGGTTGATATTGCGGGTGTTGATGGTGTAAAGGATGTGGGCAGTGCGTGGAGTGTCCTCCGGGTTGGGTATGTAGTCGACACTCATAGCCGCATCAGTTTTCGATGTTGGGTGTGATGAAATGGCGGGTAGTAGATGAGACGACGATGGTTCTCGAGGTTTGCTGGTATGAGAAGCTGTAGGTCGTTTTTTTGATGGTTGGATATAATGATTGACGGCCGGTATTTCGTCATCGCTAAACTGCTCATTCGGATCGGATGGTTGGTGTTCATCGTCAAAATCGACATGATATTCAGCATTGAACCTTCCAATTCTGTTATATCTCCTCCTCTTATTTGCATGTTCTGTTAGCGGTCTTGTCTCCAGTCTCCCATCAAGCGTTTGCAATTGCAGCGGCTGTACCTGGGCCTTGTTTTTCAATTTGTCTTTCAAAGTCTTTATTTTCCTTTCCAGTTTTTCATTTCTTGGAAAAAATGGCTGAGCCAATTGATACATTCTCAAAGCCGATGAATCCTCTCCTCGTGCCTGGTGCTGTTTTCCCATCAGAAGATATGACAACCCTTCTGCTCTTGCGTCCTCTTTCCCTTCAATTCTTTGTTCTAGGAGCTGGAGTCGGCGCTGCACTTGCTCATTCAGCTCATTGTTGGAAGAATGATCAGTAAGGAATTGTTGCTTCGAAGCTTCGTTCATAGCTCGTGCAGCTAGTATTTCTTCCACTTTCTTCTCCACCATTTCTTCAATCCTCGCAGCAGAAACAGCGTCCAATTTTTGTAAACCGGCGTCTGCAGGACAGAAAACTTTTGAAGGACGAAAAGGCCCAATAGCACCCGCATCAGATCTGCGTTTTAAGGGTGAGGATCGTTTTGGAGCGTCAAACCGTTTAACATGCGCAGGTGGTTTCGACTGTAGCTTGTCAGCGTACACAGCGAAAGTCTTAACTGATTTACTTTCCGATGGCTTTGAAGAATCTGTTGCGGCCGGTAGAACAATATTTGCATTGATTGAAACGGTAAGTGGTCGTAGTGGTTGACGATGCATTCCTGGTCCCGTCACATTAAACCCCCGAAGTGTTGGCCTAGGATGCCCTTTGAATATGGGCTCATTTTCTACTTCCCGGGTCTCAATCTTCTTGGTGCGGTTTGCGAAGTTGAGCGAGCTGAGTGTATCAAGATGATAGGAACGGGTTGGGGCGAGATTCAATATCATAATGGTGAGTCCGTTGTTTTGGCCCAACGACAATATCCTCGTCATTTTCGACTCACGGTATGGGATTCGGGTTTGCTTCTTGCTGATTGCCTCAACACATTGAGCAAGCACAAATAGGCTTTTGTTGATACATGCAGATTCAATCATGCGCTCTTTGCCATTATCGGTCCGCCGGTTGTCCTCCGATCCTGCAAGATCGATGCAAGATGCAAGACTGATACGAGTCTGCTCACCAGTAGAAATCACCAGCTTGACACAGAGTATAGCATGAGATCTAGAGGAGTGAGCATTTAGCTATCATTATAACTTGTCAGTACAGGACTACTCGATAATGTTTTTTGTGTCATTTATTTTCCCACCTTCGTTGCTGACGTCGATCTGTTCACATTGGCATGATCATACAACATCTCAAACTCCTTCAGGTTCGGGCAAGGTCGCTCAGTCAACCCAACGACCACAGTTTTCCCACCGGCATCCCGCAGTGGCAGACCTGAGGCTGTTCTTTTTTCGGGGGCCTCGAAGAGGTCAAAGACTTTATCATTGTATATCTCATAGTAGCTCATAACCACATCAACCTTAGTGCCTCCCTGAGAATCCTTCTCAATCTTGCGACTGCGCCTATATATACCGCTCAAGAGTCGTGGAATCACGCCTCTCTCGTTCAGAGATTTTCCTCCCCTCATGGTGTGTGTTTTGCCAGTTCCAGTAACCCCATAGGCAAATATTGTCACGTCGAATCCGTTGAATAGATGTTTTATTGTAGGGGCGACTGAGAACCGCAAATCCCTCTTAGCTTCATGAGTTTTCCTCATCCCGTCGTAGCACGACGACAACAAAAGAAAATAGAAATGGGACAAAACTCACCCTCTCTATCAAAAATCTCCTGCTGCGGCACATCCGCCCCATACACCCCATGGAACTGGAAACTGAATTCCTCCCCCTCATTCTTCGGATTCGGAATCCGCACAAGATTATCCCGATCTCCTCCAACCTCCTGATTCCCACCAACCTTTTGTTCTTTATCTTTAAATCCTGTCTTCTTCACCGATTTCGCTTCACTCTTGCAAGGGGATAATGGATGCTGTGAAGATGGAGCTACCAGTTCATTCGTACATGTTGGTGCGGACAAGGCAGTTGTTCTTCCGGAACGGACGATGATATCGCTTTCCCTCTCCGTTTTCAGGAGCGGACGGATTCGTGCGATGACACGGACGCTCATAATTGCTGAGGATAGGACTTGTCGTTGGGGAAGGAAATATACGGCCCTATCGATCTGTCACGGACGTGCTAGGGGCTCTTCGGATTCGTTTTCGTTTCCGCCAATTCAGATAGGGCAAACAACAATACGCAATAAAAGTGGAGAGCGAAACCAAAAGTATATAGGAAGAAGAAGAAAACAATTTTGAAAAGCGAGCCCCCGTAAATTTTATCAACCTCGAATAGGATAACCGCGCCGTGTTGTTCGCGGTCTCCGGGGCATAAAAAGTTGAACAAACCAAACAAGCAGAACCAACCAACCAACTCGATAAAAACCAAAATAAGGCACAAGTAAAGAAAACGAAAAACAACGGAAAAGAAAACCAAAAAAAAAAAAAAAAAAAGAAAAGAAAAGAAAAGAAAAGGAAGAAAAGCTGCGTCGACTTACCTTTACTGTTGGAAGATGGTGTTCACTGTCAAATAATGCAGTCAATTCTCGACAGAAAATCTAAGTATTTTGAGGAGAACAGGGGGGTGGACGGAACAGCGCGTTGTCATGGCAACTAGGAACCGCCGAGAAAAAAAACGGACGAGGACTCCGGTTTGAGATTTTGGAACAGATTGAAGTATCTGACATTAACACCGCTAAAATCCTAGGAGGAAAAGAAGGAGCATCAAACGTAAAACCAATTATTCCTGTTCATCACCCGTTAGCTATTTTATTTACGCTTAAGCAAAACCCAAACTACCTTTTCCAAAGGTTGTTTACATGCTAAATTTGCTTCAACGCCCTGAAGCGATGTTTGCGTTAGGAGAGTCTAGAATTCAAAAGAGAGCAATTGATTATCTATATATGGCATTGCCCATTCTGTACGTGAGTATGTTTACCAGAATAACGCCTGTTCAAGATCCTCCATCAAAAATAATATATATGTGCAAAATGGCAGTGTGGAAGAGTCAACACACGGACAGCCTGTTATGGGAGAAATCAAACGCCACAAATGACTTAGACCTTGGACCCTAGTATGAGAAGATAATAACTAAAGTGAGTGGGAGAACATGACGAAAGCAAGCGAGAAAGAAAGAAGAAGAAGAAGAAGAAGAAGAAGAAGAAAAAGAAAAAGAAGAAGAAGAAGAAGAAGAAGAAGAAGAAGAAGAAGAAGAAGAAGAAGAAGAAGAAGAAGAAGAAGAAGAAGAAGAAGAAGAAAAAGAAAAAGAAGAAGAAGAAGAAGAAGAAGAAGAAGAAAACGGATATATAGAGAAAGGAAGTAGACAAGCAAAACACAAACATCACTTGTCCGCCCAACTCAACTGACAACAACTCAATCCGTTCGTCACTAAAACTTCTTCATCAACCCCCACCCCACCACCCTGACTCTCGCAAGAAGATAGCTTGTGCTTCCCGCCGCCATAACAACACCTGCAAACACCTGCATCCTCCAGAATGTCGGGTGATTAATGTTCCCCACCAGTGCACCAGCGATAGGGTTACCCGTAAGACTTGCTATGGATGTGACAGCAAACATAGCACCGGTGCGTACACCCACCTGATGCACGTCTGAGATTTGCGCTACTATGGCGGGACCAAGGGATACGAAAGCCCCAGAGGTAAAGCCGTATATTGCGGTAAAGAGGATTATGGGGATGTTGCCGCGGGCAGGGATCCAGAGGGCTAGGACGACGATGACATTCATGAAGCTGGTTATCACCATCACATTGAAGCGGCCGAAACGGTCAGCTGCATAGCCCGGCAGAGTCCGGCCGAGAGTACTGTATGGATTTCTGTTGTTAGCGATTTTGTTCTATGTAAGTTATAATAGAAATTCTCGAAGAGCTTTGCAGTTTTTACCTAGTGGCATTCAGGATCGAGACAAGGTAACCCGCTAGGTGCGAGGACATGCCATGATAACGGGCAAACGAGACGATAAAGGTGAATGGTAGGTACATGCCAAAGAAAAACAGCCATGCGCCAGCAGTGACCAGGACGAATGGCAACTCCAAAAAAGGAGAGGTAAAATCCTTTAATTTGAATGGTTTGGGGTGGGGTGGAATCCTCGATTTCACGGTCAGATTTACGACGATGCATAAAGCCAAGATGACAAATGCGCAGATTCGCATCGTCCAGCCAAATCCCACACGAGGAACAAGCTTTGAAACTAGGATGGGATATATCACACCCCCAACACTTGATCCACTGGCCACGACCCCAAGCGCGAATGCTCTTCTTCTGGAAAACCATGTTGTGGCGCTATTGATGCACGGGTAGAAGATAGTACCTGCACCAAGTGGGCTGCAGATACCCTGGGCCAGAAGGATTTGGTAGTATGAAGTTGATATGGAGGTCATCATCAGGCCAAAAACGTGGAGAAAGGTCCCTATCAACAGTAAGTGTCGAGGACCGTAGTTGTCAAAAACTTTGCCGCAAATTGGGGCCTACTCATATGTATTTAGATGGGTCAGCATGTTTTCAGAAGGCGTCTGGTAAAAAGGTTCGGATGGATTTTTTCTTTTGACTTACCACCACGAACATCATGCATGTTTCAAGCGACGGTATCCAGGCTATGGTGCTAGGTGAGTAGTTCTTCAACTGGTTGTTTTGATAATAGTCCTGGAACACTCCAATACCTACTTCATATTAGCCTATTTCCCCCCCTGAACTTTGTCCCTTTGAGAAGTGAAAGAGATCTGTTGATCTACAAGAAATTCCTCACAAGTGATCCATCCAAAGCTCACAAACAACCCACAAAATCCACCGAAAACAACAGTCCACGCCTCTATTCCACCTTCAGGGTAGGCGCCTGCGTCTCTCATGAGATCCACCGGAGGCTCAGCCACTGGTTTCTGTTGCTCAACGTCCCTATCTCCACGACGTTCTCTTTCCCGAAAATTCGGACCATCGTGAGCCTTGTTGTCTGATCCGCTGCTTGACCTTCGATCTGGATGAGAGGATCCCAGCACATGAGTTATGCTGGACCTAGGAGAGGGAGGAAGCTCCCATAGCTTTTGCCGATCTGGTACGTTCCATGATTGGCCATCTGTTAATCTATCTTCGACTGACCTCTCCCCGTCGGTGGACGACATCCCGAGGAAACTCAAAAAGCGTCTATATACCCCGATCTCGCACCAGATTGTCAACAGGAGTAAACAAGACACGAAGGCTGTGGGTTTTCTTGGGTTGGCGTCCAAAGCTACTAAGGTGCAATCCAATCCAAGTAAAGGGCAGGGGAAAGAAAGAAGGCGCCAACTGGTGAAAAACCTCAATTCAACATCCTTAAGCGGGGAATAGAGGGGATATACGTATAGGTATATATCTCTCTAGCGGAGGGACAAATGTAGCAAAGAGCTGTAGAGGGAAATATCATAAACGGTTGTCAATGAAGCAAATCCCCGTGAATGAAGCTGCCCTGCGCTGTGGGAGCGAACATCAAGTAGGTTTCCGTTGCGGGCTCAGTAAGGAGAGTTTGGCAGACACCGGGAAGGAGTACAGAGCGGGAGATTAAAAAAAAAATAAAAATAAAAGCGAACAGTGGGTATACATGTGCTCAGCGCAATATCTCAAATTAACTTCCAGTGCAATTATCGAGGGTTAGAAGCTCAAATAATTAATTGATGTTACCTCCCTTCTCCTTAGAACGACGAAATGCAATCCAAAACGGATCTCTACTGCGAATAGCTAGTTTTTTAAGTTATTAATAATTGTATTCAAGGGGGCAAAACAAGCATTTAATAAACATTAATCACAAACATGTGTCCGATCCTTCAAGGGCTCTAGCCAAGAACCTGTCACTGCTGATAAAAAGACTCTCCCATTGCGATAAATCCGAGTGATTGACAAGCCATCTAAAATATACCCGGATACCTGGGCACCGTTTACTGCAGGGATCTCTGCTGATTTTGGTTTATCATGGAACGGAATTTCACCCGCCATCTCCATCTCGTCGTCATCGCAGAGCCATGCAATGACAGCCAGGTGGGGAGCTTTTGGAGCATGCGAGGGGTCGGTGAAGTTTCGTCCGGGAGGGCTTGTGGAAAGGGGGGGGTAAACATCCGAAATTAAACGAACTAGCCAACCAACCAACCAACTGCTCAAACATTGCTCAGTGTGGGGAGTCGGCGCGGAGTTAAGCAGTTCATCTACCCAGGAACTTATCTAGGTAAGCGGGTTTGTCAAGGGAATTATTATGTCGTGTCTAGTCTAGATAGCGCCTCGACATTTGTCACGAATGGACTACAGGTTGCTATCTCAGACAATAAAACCCCGATTTCAAAGCCTGCGCTCATGTCAAAGGACCCACTAGTAAACTAGTTAACTACCGCGCTGCCCTCCCTCTTAATGCTGTTTCTCAAGGGACATTCCATCGTCGTTGACGACCACGGACGAACCGTCACGCCGGAAACGCATAACCTCCTGCTCTTCTGCATACTTGGATTCAGACCCAACTTGGTGTCGATATGAGCAGGGAGGGGACGGCTGATGGCGGAGATGGTGGATACACCAGACAGACTCTAGCATTGTTCGGCTAGTTGTCCACAGCTCATGTATCACAAATGAAGAGACAGAAGGTTAAAGAACCAGAGAAGCCGTCCAATCAGACGACGTGTCTGTTTTCACTGTCGGATTCAAGAATTGCCGCATCTGAAAACTCCCCGCTTATGAGCCAAAGCAAACATCGACGACTCGATGGGAGAGGGGTACCTCTTTGATCCAATCATCCCGCATCAATAACGTCCTTGGGAATTTCTCTTTTGCTGTCCCCCTCGATCGTAAACGGTCGACAATAAGTGGAAATATGTACTCCACATGTACCTCTCCCTGGAGGCGTCAATAACAGAATAAGGAAACGTACATCACCTGCTGGCAGAGGCAACACGCAGCCAGTTTTGCAACTTAACTGACCTCCATATTACAACTCTATATACATACATACCACCAGTGACATCACCATTATTTTTGTGTTGTCTAGTCGGTGCCCAGCTGTTTTCTATCCAAACATCGAGAATAACCACGTTGATGCTGCGGGATCTAAAAATGCTTATCCCGAAATTTCCCCCAAACCGTCTGACTTTTCTATTGTTGCAAGATATCTTATCATCTCCATGCAACATGGCTTTTCGCTTCGTTTTCGGTTGTTATGTGAGACTGGTTGATTTCCGCGCATTTGTTTATACAGATCGGACGGTTCGATATTTCGAACTCTATCAAGTCGGATATCAGAAGCCGTTGATTCTTTATCGGATCTGCAATAATAGCTATACGCTGGTAGACCTATCACGGAGAAGCACGGTTAGCAACAAAGCCTCGTGGCTGTGATTGGAGAAGCTATATTTCTCTATAGCATCCGTGCTTAAATCCCATTCAGTGCCACCCACCATCCCAAGTTACTGTTTTGTTTAGCAAAGCGGGGGAACTGCAATTTATACATTCCTAGGCACCGTCATCCTCAAGTTTCAAGAATAGTATTTGATTATATTCAAGAAAGCATGCTGAGTTGCAGAGTGACGGGGAAGTTTCAACGAAATGCATAGTGGAATATTTTAAGAATATGAGGTTCACAAACACCCAAACTCCTCAATGCGAACCGTCGAAGATGAAATTTTAGAGCAAGGATCAGGCACATTAAATTCAGCGCCAGTCCTTCAAAATCGACTCAAAATCATGCCACGAGAAAAGGAGGTGTCAAATTAGTTCGCCTCCTTCAATGCTTCCATTTCATATTAGCCACGATAATAGTATCACGAATGACAGTCTCCGGTCCGCCATTCATGAAACACTTGTCTGATCTTGCCCAGGTCAGTGCGCAGAATAAAAATTACCCCGCAAGATTATACCCTCTGTCATAATTATCATTTGGCGCATTATCCCATCCACTCATATAACGGATAGCCTTATTGTCCCGTAAGGGATAATGACCTATGTGCCACTGCCAATTCGTGGTCAGGGCACAGAGCATGGGAATATTTTTCTGGATCATAATCTGACTGGCAAACCGATCCTCTTCATGAATGAAAATGAAAGAGATAGTTCATAACCAACTACCAGTTGGGAATTGAGAATTCGGATTAAATAAGCTGGTGATAAGTTAGAAAAGGAGAAATCAAAATGGTGGTGTAAACATATATATATTTTAACTTGGTGGAAAATTGACTGGCTCATGTCAAGTTCAAGTTCATGGTTGGTTTAGTTAAATAGGTTGCATGTCCTTAACACAACAATTCAGTTACAAGTAACTTTTGTAAATGTTTTAAAGAGTCATTGTGAGATGATCTCGACTTTTCGGCTGATGAACGAAAAGCATGCGTCTGGGTCCTTGTCAGTCCTCACCACTGAATAATTTAGGTGGAATTATGCAAGTTATGCAACTTCAACTGATTGCTTACTTGTTTATTAGAATCAACGTTGCTTCAGTGTATACATTCATCAACTCTTGTTCTTTTAAACTGCTCTATATTTTAAATCTCTCATCAAAGATTGTGAGCAGAATACTGAAAGAAAAGAATAATCAGTCACTTGAGTAAACACATAAAAGAGTAAACTCATAAAAGATTTAATTAAGTCAGAAAGAAAGTGTTACAATATTGACGAAATCAAAAAATCAAATTCACTACTTCTTTTTAATTATTAGCTATTTGCTTTCAGTAAAGACAAGTATCTTTTGCACTCAAGCTTAAGATGCATTACAACGCTATATTCCATCATGAATACATTCTTGTCATGAACCTCTTCTCAACACTGAGCGGCTCAGTTGAGATCAATAAGCACAATCAATTTTCATAGCAGACAGTAGATACTATTCTCTAACCTACATTACTTCTCATACCTGTAGGTTATTGCTTGTGGAACATCCAGCTGCTGAGTTAATAAATTCATGAAGGATTGTACGGCATTTCAAGAGGATTCCGCAAAGGGTTTATAAGAGCAATTCCCCCAGTAGAGAAAAGGATGCCATCAAGGCTATTCAGCCAGAACGTGCACATGTATCCGCCGTGAGCTCAACCGCTTCTTTCTGGATGTGCCGATGTAGAAACATAGTAGTTGCTCCTGGAAACATTGCGAGCACTGAGGGTATTGATTGTCACAGGCTATACCTCGCTCGTGACAACAGGTGCAGGACGAAATTACTGGGCTATCCCTCATCTCTGGGGAGTCTGAGCAATCCAAGTCCTGTCCTAGAAAATAATAGTATGCGTTAGTCTGTGATTATGAGAAGCTTGCAACGATCCAAAAATAGGACAACGTACTGTCTGGACTGCTTCCACCGAACCCCGTAGTGGAGAAGTACAATTTCCACCACCACTTCCACATGAAGCCAACTTTTAACTGTTTGTCATTCACATCAAGGAGCAGGGTGGACAAAGATGTTTTTGAGGTATCAACCTGATCTTCATTTGTTAGCCTGGACTGTTCGAGGATGCAGCGACTTCTCCATATATGGCAGGGTCTGGAAACCCACAACACTCCGATTAACCCCCCTCCAGTGTCCTATGTTTAGATCTCTAATATCAACCGCGTGGAAATTAATGTTCTCCTGTTTAGAACACACAGATGTGCATAATAATGCTAGCGAGTTTGAGGCATCCAAAACCTGAAGGAGCAAAAGCAAAACAGGAGGCTGCCAAATCAGATATTTAGCATGTTTGCGTAGTAATCCAGAGGCTGTACTATTTGACGTAGCCCCGTTGCAAAATAGTTCTGGAACTTCTTCCTTGGGGTCCCGGGGGATATGTCGGACCTGGGGCCCATGAACAGAGGGAAACAAAGGGACTAACAGGGGACCTCAAAGGCTAAGGTTAAAGTTGAAGTAGGGATAATCACATGACGTCCGGTTATTCCGCCAAAAGTCGTAAGGCAGGATGTTAAGCTGCCAATGAACGAGACTGTTATTGTTGAACTATCCGATGGTTCGAAGGGTCTCGGTGAAAATCAATGCTGGGTGGCTCAGTGGTTGAAGGGACCGGGACTGGCGGAAGGGCCATCCATTTTCAGGCTTGATGAATCACGGGTCTTTTAAAGTTCTTCGGTTTTTAATATCTCAGACTGCTCTCAAACTGCTACGTACATAGTTTATCAACCATAGTACCAC